CAGGCTTCCAGATCAAAATATAAAGTATTTCGCGCTGAGATTAAGTACAAGGGCTTAGACTTCGACGTCCTTGCTCACTTCAGTAACCCATCGCATGGATGGTCAAACAAAGCCTGCTTGGCAAATACACACGCCAGAATAGAACAATACAAAAATAGTCTAACAGCTAGCACAAAGAAAAAAAACACTTGGCGAACACACCAACCTAGAAAACCGCAGTCGCACCCGAATACTCCACGCGCTCATGAAATTTGGCACTCGAATGCGAACAAAGGCCCACGGCGACGTGAAGCGCAGCAATATATGGTGAATGGTCGGCATGGAAGCCGTGTTGGCACTTGACGCGGCCCTCAGCCGCAAACATGGTACGGTAGATGAACACGTCCTGCTCGGACACGCGCCCCCTCCCCCCCCCCCCCCCCCGCCGGCACCCAGTCAGGGCGCTGGCGTACCGCGCGCCGCTACCCTGTAGCACTTACACACGAAAGAAAACTAGAGTATTCTCCCCGCCAGATCCACGCAAATGCAACAATCTCGTTGTTCAATCTCGCTCGCGGCCACGCGGCGCGAAGAAAAATGGCTGCACGCGTCTTCCTGCAGTAAGTATCGGTTGAGATTCAGTCGTGTACGGCCCGCCCGGCCTCGCTCGGCTCGGCTCAGCTCACCACCTCTCGGCGCACGTGCACACCTCACGTGGCCGGCGCCGACTGCGGCGCGGCGCGGCCAGTTAGTCGGACGGTGCGACCGGTTGGGTACTGAGGGCGGCTGCTGCCGAGGCGTGCACGTTACAGGGTGTTAGCTCTGTCCAGCGCGGCACGCAGTCAGTGGAAAGAGAGAGAAAAGTAGTGTTAGTACATGTTGGCTGTAAACGGATCGCACGTTCCATCAGCGGCATAGCGGTATCGACATTAGTAACTGGGCACATGTGTGGCTACTAGACCCAAGGTTCAGCTAGCATTTGAAGTGTTAACCCACGACTGCCGCGACCGCGCAGTCGGCGGTCGCGACTTGCAAACACATGACATATTTACAGCTACTCAAAGCGTTCGGGGCAAACTGGTGAGTGCTACAAGCCCACGACACCCTCGACACTACCCCACACGATGATGACTAGAGGCGGCCGCGGCCGGGGCGGGAGCGGCCGGCGGCGCGGCGGCCGGGCCGGTCTCCGCCCTGGCGCGGCCGCCGCACACCCCCACACGACCCAGGCGGGAGAGCGCGCGCCGGCTGCTGACAGAGCGGGGCAAGCGGGGCGGCGGACGGGCAAGCGGCGCGCCCGGCTCCGGCGGTGCAGAGCTGCGCGCGGCGCCGACGTTAGTGGTGCACAAACCCGTTAGTGACGGAGAGACAATTTGCGAGCGCCGTGCCGGCGTTCAGAGGCCGCGGCCGGCCGCGCCAGTCTGGCGGCCTTTTCAAATGCAAATGCAAGATTGAGAGTATTTTTATTGCTTTTCTCGATACATATAATGCCTCTGGTGACCAATAAACATACAAAATGAAACTGGAAATCACTATTTATACAATGTCACCGACAAGCACAACTGGAAAATATCACTTGGTGTGCGTGTGTATGTAAACACATCCGTGCATACATAAAACGTTGGGGGTGGGGCGGCCCGGGTCTGAGTATTGGCCGCCGGGGGAGTGTGGAGGGGCCGGGGGGCGGCCGCCGGCCTGCCCCGTCTGCCACCAGCCGGGCGGCCCTGACGAGGAGCGCGTGACTAGGGGCACCGCGCGGCGGTCGCCGGCCAGACGGGCCCGCCGACCGGGACCGCCACCGACGGCTGCGACTCAGAGCCGGCACCCGAGGACGAGGCGAGCGGCGGCCGGTGACGCGGTGCTCCGCGTGTGGTGGGGCAGGCGCGGATCGGGCACGGACACGAGCGGGTCGGGGCACGGCCCTCGCCGCTGGAGGGGAGAGTCGGGTCCGAGGCGCGAGGCGGACGGGCACGAGAGAGAGAGCCAGGAGAGGCGAGGAGAGGAACACGGCGGCGTGAGCCGCATGACAGCGTGACACGTGTAGACTAACCTGCTCCATCAACACACACTACAACTGCGAGAGTGAGCCCGTCCTCTGGTACGGATGCTCACGGACCTGTGCGAACATGCGCCGCTGCTTGGAGGCGGCGACACCTACATGGGCAGACACTGTCAGACCGTCACGCACGTACGCCGATGACAATGGGGTCGAGCGGGGCCCAGCTGGCCCCGCCCGCCCAGCGACACGCACAGGCAGGGGCACAGGCACGCACCACTGGCCCAGCTATGGCACCCTCTGACTAGATGCAATCATTGGGCGTCCCGCCCCACCTCCCGCCAATGTAGACTGACTAGCTACAGCAGATGTTCCCCGCCGCGTGCCGCGCAACACGCCTACTCGGTAGAAAACGTGGAACAAAACATACGAACGGCATTCGCGACGACAAAATCCGTCTGCAATGTACAAAATACAAAAATAAATACAAGCCGCCGCAACGGACGGCGCTCAGATTTGACGGCGCGGCGGGGCGGCGCGCCGCCCGGGCCGCTAGCACCAGGCGATTCAGACACGCCGGCCGGAGCGAGCTCGGACACCCGGCGGGTTAGTCGGGGGTTAGCTGTGACGGGCGGGCGCCGGCCTCGGGCGCCGGCAGACGCGGCGACACGGACGGCCAGGGAGAGACAGAGAGAGATAGACAGAGAGGGGTGAAGATGGAGACAGACAGAGCGCCGTTACGCCAGGCGAGGCAAGCCAGAAGTCCGCTGGTTAAGGGCCGCCCACTGCGCCTTGGTCCCCTGGGGGAAACGCTGGTTATTGGCGTGAGGGCGCGCCGGCGCGCGCCGGCCGGGCCGCCGCCGGCAGTCTGTGAGCGCGTGCGCGGGGGTCACGTGACGGCGCGGTTACGGCGACCGTCAGCCGGGTTAGCGCGACGCTCCGGTCACGTGGGGTTCGCAGCTCGGTTACTCCGCGTCGCACGGCTCCGGTAGGAGCGGTCAGTTGGTTACAGAGTGTCAGGGCAAGCCAGTCAGAGCCGGGAAACGGACAAACACGAGCAAAAATATACCTAACTATCTATACTCGATAAGTGTACCATAAAGACGCCCAGCACCTCGCGGGGTAACCCGTGTAAAGCGTGCAGACCACCACCACCAGCGCACACATCAACCTCACATGCAGAGTGACAATGTCGGCGAATCCGTGGCTCTCCGCGCGGCATGAACATGAAATAAGCTTCTTAAAACAAACGGTCAAGGCATCCAATTAAATAAAACGGTTCTGCGGGGACAACACCAGGCGCCGCTGCTACGCACGCCGACCACTAATCACTACTACACTAGCATCGCGCCGCGGCCGCGGCCGCCGCCGCCGCCGCGGCGCCGCGCCCGGCCGCGCGGCGGACGTCGTGCCTCCACCGGGCAGCGCGGTCGGCGCGCCACTAGGGCCCGGGCCAGGCCAGTCACCGTGCGAACAACCCACCGGTCGGATCGGCTGTGTAGTCGGCCAGGTGGAGTGGCTGCGCCAGCTGGGCGGCGTACTGCGCCGCGTAGTCGGGCGCGTACTGGGCGTACAGCAGGGCGGCGTCGCCGGCGCTGATGAGCGGCGGCGGGCCCGAGTTGATGAGCGCCGTGCCGGCCGCCATGCGCGGCGACAGGATCAGCGGCGCGCCCAGCGAGGCCGGCGTGCGGATTTGCGAGGGTCATCAGGCCGCCCAGGCCGGCCGCCATCTGGGTCAGCTGCAGCCGAGGCGCCGCGTCCGCTGGCGGGGCGCACGGAGGGTCACACAGGGGTGGCGGCTCACCACATCACCATACGGCTCACCACATCACTACACGGCAGCGTCCACTGGTGGGGCGCACGGAGGGTCACACGGGGGCGGCGGCTCACCGCATCACCACACGGCAAGTGTCCCCTGGTGGGGCGCAGGGAGGGTCACACAGGGGCGGCGGCTCACCACATCACCACACGGTAGCATCCGTTGGTGGGGCACAAGGAGGGTCACACAGGGGCGGCGGCCCACCACCAGGCACCTGTATCCGCTGGCAGACACGGAGGAAGTGAGGGGGTGGAGACAGTAAGGGCGCCCCACACTACGACGCCCGTTGGCAGATAGGCAGCGAGCCGGTGACTGGGATGGGGGCAGCCGCGCACTCTCGACAGCGACAGCTCCCAACAGGAGCGTTGGTGAGGAGCGCATATGTGTGCACGAGGCGGGGGTACGGACGGCGTGGCGGAAACGGCCCGCCACGACGCACCAGCTGCACGTACGGGCACCCATCAGCGCATGAGTGACGGGGTGAGACGGGGGCGTGAACCTTCACCGCCAGGGGCGAGCGGCGGGAGAGGGGCAGGGGCGGGGGCGGGGGCGGGGGCTGAGGTCCGCCGATAGTCGCTACTTTAAATGTGGCGCAATGGGCATGCAGCCAATACCAACGACCTAATCAACACGCGCTCGGTTGTGTACCCAGCCCCCGCCAGCCAAACCACACCGCGCCGATGCCGTCGGCGGCGCCAGGAAGAGCGGTGCGCCTTAATCTCTTCACCCGACACCGGCCTGCTGCCACCGGCGCGCACATCCACGCAAACGAAAACACAGGCACCGCGAGCGGCCGGCCAACAGCCACACGAGGCCGGACCGGGCCGTCAGCGGGCCGTCACCAGACACAACACTCGCACGCACTCAGCGCCGGCCGTCAGGACGGCCGACGTCCGTCCGCCTGACGGATGGGGCCGTCACAGCCAACAGAGCGGGGAGCTACTCAGCCACCGGTGCCACTGACGTCTGGCAGGAGAACGTGCCGCTGCGGATGGGCACGCACGGGCGGGGGCGGTAGTAATGCTTCCAGGGATCCGAGTAGTAGCTCATGATTCTGAGCAAGACATGACCTAAGGGGGATATATCTAAGTCTCAGCGCACCCTTCCCCCCCCTCCTCCCCCCCCTCAAGCGATTAGGACTAAAATCACATCGAAGACACACGACAGCGACCAACAAGGACAACACTAAGCACAACGATAGGGGGTGACAGGCACACGGACATCGTCACTGGAGACTGCCAAGCACACAAGTCCGATGCCCTGAGTGCACGGCGTGACGCCCGAGGTCACGTCTCAGTCGGGATCGCCGTCCGTCGGCCGACGACGTCGGGCCGTTAGACGCGGGCCGGTAAGGGTGCGTTCCGTGGGCACCGTGCAGCCCGCTGGCGTTAGTACAGACACCGCCGGCCCAGCACCGTGTTACCTGCTGAACTCGGCAGGCCGGCGCTCAGCGCCAGCTCCGGCGACGGCTCTGAAAACAGACGGCGGCTCTCAGCGGTGACATCTGCCGGCAGCCGCGCCAACTGGCAGTTGCGCAGCCGGCCGGCGCGGCGCCGCAGTCGCTCGGAGCGAGTTAATGTGTTACGTTAGGCCAGACACGGGTCCGTTAGTGAGCCGAGGGCGGGACCCAGCCCGCACAGGCGGTGTCGAATGCAAACAGATCACGAGCAAGCTGGCGGAGAGCGCAGTCTCAGCACGGTCAGTGGCGTGGATTATGGAGAAACGCGCGGCGTCTCGCGTTAGGCCGTTCCTCGGCGCCAGTTTTAATCCAGCGGACAGTGGGGGGGTGAGCAACACGGGGCGCGACGCCGGCGGTCGCGGGTCAGCAGCGCGGGCCACGTTAGCGCGTGAGGCGGTGAGAAGAAGCGGACGAGCCGGCTGATCATGCGGGGGCGGACGGTGGCAAGGGCCGGCACTCACTGCTGGAGTCCCGGTACGTGCCGTTGATGATGGCCAGCTCCATCAGCTGGCGCTTCTTCAGCTCGTCCTCGCCGTCCGCCTGTCGGTCAGGCAGGATCAGATCAGGCCAGATCAGGTCAGGTCGGGCTGCACGGTCGAGTCATGCCCACCGGAGGGCAGGCTCACACGTCTCGGTTACTACTCTCCCGCCGTGAGTGCTTACAAAGCACGCACGGCGATGCGAGGATCACCTCCGCACCGCCGTAGCAGCGTGCAAACTGATCGTGAACGGCTCACGTGTGACAGTCGCTTTCCAACGCGCGCCGCTAGCACAATTGACAGCGCGCCTAATGCCGACACCATTCGAAATGGTCTGATAATGCCAACGCCAAACACCAGAAAACAGGAAGACCATACGGTTCCCGTCGACAAACAACACCAAGGATAATTGAGCATGTGGGTGAGCGGGGGCGTGAAATTGCCACGGGTTCCGGCCGTTGAGCACGGTCGGAGCTTGCCCCGCGCTGGACGACACGGCCAGGCAGGCAGGGGCCACACGGACCGTCGGGAGAGGTCTGGGTCTGACAGCCAGCGGGCGGTTCGGCACCCGCTTCAGGTCGTGGGCACACGAGCCGGGAAATGATAGCGAGTGCTGCCGCAGCGATGGCAACTCAGACTGCCCGGCAGGTGCGAGAGTGGCAGACGACGGCAAGTCACAAGGTCAACTGGCGGTTCAAACCGCTGACAGACGGGGGGGGGGGGGGGGAGGTGGACAAGTAGCCAGCTCCCCGCCGACGCTCATACCATGAGCTGATCTTGTGCGATGCGACAGCTGGGGACAGGTAACACGGTCGCCCCACCCCCACCCCGCTGCCCCCTCTCCGTCCGCCCCAGGTTCGCTCCCCGCACCCGGCCGCGAGGCGGATGCGAGTCAGCCGTGAACGAGTATCTGGGCGTCGCATCCTAACCGGCGGCCCGCTGCATAGTAACGAGCCGCCCGGCAGGCGACAAGATGGCGCCAGGCGGCCGGACCGCGGGCCCGCCTCCTCCGATCCGCCGGTCCGGCCGGTCCGAGGCGTGCCGCCCCTGGCGGCTCAGTGTCAGAGTCCGCCGCCGGCTCCCGCACACCTGACCGCCCCCTCGCCCTCCAACGGGCTGCCCGGCACGCGCACCAGGTGCGGCGGCCGGTGGCGGCTCCGCGGGCGGTCGCGGCCGACATGACCTCGAGGCGACCTCGGCGCAGCCCGAGCCGGGCCCCAAACGTCGCACGTCGCCGGCCTGTTTTCCGTGAGCACCTTCGCCGGCCCGGCCCGCTGATACATATCGATAGCCGGCCAAATAAAGCGAGCGAAACGCGACAGGCCGGCATCAGATGTACCCATAAACGCGCCGGCAAAAAGCGCACAGCATGATAATGCCGCGCTCGACATGCAGGCGGGCGCACCGGACGGTGCCTGACGACACTCCGCAGGCGTCGCCGACACCGGTGGCGCGCTGCCGCCGTCCGCCGCCCGGCCCGAGACGGTACGCTGCAGCAGCGCGCAGGCGGGCGCGGCGGGCCGGTGTCTGCGACGGGCGCGCCAGCGACGGCCGGACGCGCCGGCAGCGCGGACCGGTCGACAGGCCGCGCCCAGGCTGCGCCGATGAGCAGCGCCGAGTCCGCGTCGGAGCTTGAGGTACGGAGTTGCCTGTCACGCTCATGACAGGAGTCGGAGCGAGGACCGCGGAGCGACACGAAACGGGGACGGGCACCGCACGACCCGAGAGTCGGACGCGGACGGGTGGACACGAGGGACGAACCGCGCCGGCGGCGAGACCGCGCCCGCCGGCCGGCCCACCCACCCGAGCGCGCCTCGCCTCGCGGACGGGCCGCGGCTGACCCGGTCGACCCCGGCGCCGGCAGCGGGCAGCCAGCCGTGTCGGGCGAGCGCGGCGCCCCGCCCGCTGCCCAAGAATACGGAGGAGGGAGCGCTGCCGGCGGCCGGACGCGGCGAAAACAGAGCCGCCCGCCACCGCCGGCCACAGCCGCAGACGGGCCGCCGGCCGGCAAGGCGCCGCCAAGAAAGAAGCAGCCGCTGATTAATCGGCGCCGAGCGATCCGCGAAATATCGCCGGCACATCGGCCGCCTTCGATGGCTGAGAAAATATTGACGCGCGCTATTTCGGGCGTTGGCTGACGCGACCGGTGCGCTGAGCGTGCCGGCTGGCGGGTGCGCTGACGCACCTGACCCGGTGCGCGCTGAGCGTGCCGGCAGGCGGGTGCCCTGAGCGTGCCGGCTGGCGGGTGCGCTGACGCACCCTGACCCGGTGCGCTGAGCGTGCCGGCCGGCGGGTGCCTGAGCGTGCCGGCTGGCGGGTGCGCTGACGCACCCCTGACCGGTGCCACCCGCTCGGAGACGCTCGCCGAGGTCCGACCGCCTCCGCTCCTCCGCGCCGCGTGACGCCGCCGCTCCCGGCCGCGCTCGGCCGGCCGCAGCCCATTGTGAGCGCAGCAGCCCCCGATCACGCTCACATTGTGGGCGCGACACAACGCGTCGGCGGCGCCGAAGGCCGACGCGGCAGGCGAGCGTGCAGTTGCGGCCGGCGATTGCGAGCGTGACCGGCGGCATCGGGCGGCGCGAGGACCACGTGACCGGCGTTACGACCGGCGTCGGTGACACAGACGCGGCTCGGGTTTATTTATTTACGGGGCCGGCTGCGGCGGCGGCGGCGGCGGCGGCGGGCAAGGTCGCTGTCCGGCCGCTCTCGCCGGCGCCGGCGCCGCGGCCCGCCTCTCAGGTGCGTCCGGCGCTCCGCCGCGCCCGGGGCGGCGCGCGGTTCCGGCGCCAGGTGCCACATCCGCCCAGATTGGGGCCAAAAGGTGACGGCTGCGCCGCAGCCCCGCCCGCGAAACGGAGCGCAGACACAGGCCCGCAGTCCGGACAAGCAACACCCGATCTTAACGAGCGTGCCACGCGGCCCGACTCGGCGGCCGCGCGTGCCGCCGAATACGGCGGCCGGCCCGCCCGGGAGCGACCCGACCGAGGCGG